CCTAAGCTAGAACCAGGAAGTGTGGTTGTCATGGATAACGCTCCCTATCATTCGGTAAGAGTCGAAAAAATACCAACAACCAGCTGGAACAAGCAGCAAATAATAGATTGGCTGCAAAGCAAAGGCAAATCCATGGACATGACTTATTAAAAAAAAGAATTACTAATGAAAGTTGCCGAAATCACCCCACATTATAATAAATATTTTATAGATGAGACTGCCAAAAGTAATGTCATTACAATTCTTCGCCTACCGCCTTACCATTGCAAACTTAATCCAATTGAATTGATTTAAGCCCAAATAAAAAATTATGTTGGTGCCAATAACTCCACGTTCAAAATGAGTGACATAAAAAATTATTAGATGACTCAATAGCATTAATAAACGCTAATCGTTGTAAGAAGTGCTGCGACCACGTGATACGCGAAGAAAATACCATGTGGAATTTGGATGATATCATGGAACTTGCAGAACAAAATTCTTTCATAATTAATGTAACTGGAGAATCTAGCAATACTTATTAGTGATTTAAGTAATTTTAAGAAGATTTGTTTCCGTTAAACTTAATTAAATGTTACCCTGTAGTTGCACTGATGACTCAGTATTTTCTTAACGCGAACGGACTGTAGTTGCACTGATGACTCACTATTTTCTTAACGCGAACGGACTGTAGTTGCACTGATGACTCACTATTTTCTTAACGCGAACGGACTGTAGTTGCACTGATGACTCACTATTTTCTTAACGCGAACGGACTGTAGTTGCACTGATGACTCACTATTTTCTTAACGCGAACGGACTGTAGTTGCACTGATGACTCACTATTTTCTTAACGCGAACGGACTGTAGTTGCACTGATGACTCACTATTTTCTTAACGCGAACGGACTGTAGTTGCACTGATGACTCACTATTTTCTTAACGCGAACGGACTGTAGTTGCACTGATGACTCACTATTTTCTTAACGCGAACGGACTGTAGTTGCACTGATGACTCACTATTTTCTTAACGCGAACGGACTGTAGTTGCACTGATGACTCACTATTTTCTTAACGCGAACGGACTGTAGTTGCACTGATGACTCACTATTTTCTTAACGCGAACGGACTGTAGTTGCACTGATGACTCACTATTTTCTTAACGCGAACGGACTGTAGTTGCACTGATGACTCACTATTTTCTTAACGCGAACGGACTGTAGTTGCACTGATGACTCACTATTTTCTTAACGCGAACGGACTGTAGTTGCACTGATGACTCACTATTTTCTTAACGCGAACGGACTGTAGTTGCACTGATGACTCACTATTTTCTTAACGCGAACGGACTGTAGTTGCACTGATGACTCACTATTTTCTTAACGCGAACGGACTGTAGTTGCACTGATGACTCACTATTTTCTTAACGCGAACGGACTGTAGTTGCACTGATGACTCACTATTTTCTTAACGCGAACGGACTGTAGTTGCACTGATGACTCACTATTTTCTTAACGCGAACGGACTGTAGTTGCACTGATGACTCACTATTTTCTTAACGCGAACGGACTGTAGTTGCACTGATGACTCACTATTTTCTTAACGCGAACGGACTGTAGTTGCACTGATGACTCACTATTTTCTTAACGCGAACGGACTGTAGTTGCACTGATGACTCACTATTTTCTTAACGCGAACGGACTGTAGTTGCACTGATGACTCACTATTTTCTTAACGCGAACGGACTGTAGTTGCACTGATGACTCACTATTTTCTTAACGCGAACGGACTGTAGTTGCACTGATGACTCACTATTTTCTTAACGCGAACGGACTGTAGTTGCACTGATGACTCACTATTTTCTTAACGCGAACGGACTGTAGTTGCACTGATGACTCACTATTTTCTTAACGCGAACGGACTGTAGTTGCACTGATGACTCAGTATTTTCTTAACGCGAACGGACTATAAACGCTAAGTCATCGAATTGACAAATACAAATTTTACTAAACTCCCAAAAAATGAAACCGAATTATTTTTGTAAGCATACTTAAAATGAACATTATGCGTCGAAAATAGAACCTTTTTTTGAAACATTTAAAAAAAGTCCGCTAGTTAACGAAAGCTCGCGGACGCAGACTTGTTACTAAAAAAAGTCACGTATGTACTTCCTAATTTATTTCGGGTATTGAAGGATTAACCGTTAATATAAACCGTAAAGCGTAAACCGATTTCGGTCATAGTTACCGTATGCGTTTGTTTCCGTAATTTTTTCTTAAATATTTTGACGCATGACATTCTAAACATTGTAAAAAAAAAGTTGCAAAGAATCTTTATCGATAATGTAGAAGACATATGAAGTCGGCCAAAATTTACTGGGATAGCACGACGGACTCTTCCGTGACTCCAAGCCCTCTCAGAACCCTCTTTATCGATCTGTTTGTTTCATTTGATAATGTTTGTAATACGTAGGTATATTTTTTATAGAATAGGCTGAAAAACGAGCACACAGTCCACCTGATGGCAAGTGGATGCTGTGTCCTATAGACATCTACATGATGTAGACTACAATCATCTAAATTCAATAAACAATCAAAATACATTGTCCCCTTTGACGAACAAGATGGAATGCCTCACGTCCCGTAATAAGGATCTTATTTTACGCAGGTATTCTGTGAGAGCGTTGTCCTACCCTGCTGAGGTAACCCATTCGTGCTACAACTGTAATATAGCTATAGCATAGCTCTACCACGTTGTTATACTGTATTGCATATTTCTGTATTGCAGTAAATTAAGTGCATGAAAACCCTATTTTTAAACATAATACCAGTTCAACTACTTATGAACCTTTTGAAGTTTTTTCATTTTAAGTTATCCTAAGTTGCAGAATGAATAGTTTGTAATACAAACTAATTTTAGAGAAAATTTAAAATTTAATAATTTAATGAATCAGGCATTAGTGTGCAATTTAGTTATAGAAATACAGGCTGCACGATATGATGTTAACTATTGTCTTTAGCGGTTATGGCGCAAAGAAACGTTCGCCACATTAATATTTTTTTTTGTAAAAAACGTTACCCCTACACTAGGATTTTATCCTGTATCGCGGGGCAGTTTACAAACATAAATTGCACAAGGACAAACATCCAGACCCGTAGCCATTATTTATAGGCCATACAAATACTTGTTCCGTGCGGGATTCGAACCCGCGACCCCCAGCGCAGCCACTCATTGCTAAGCCACTGCGCCACGGAGTCGTCAAAAATAAATTATTATAATATAATATATTATTGTAATAATATAGTAATATATTATTATTAATTAATATAATATTATTATAATATATTATTGTTATTAATGATAATATATTGCAATAATGCCATTTTTTCTACAAATAAGGGAGACAAACGGACACATACTACGTAAGACAGGTATATCATCAAAGGTGAAATCAGTGTACATTTGCAGCTTTTTTTACTATTCTCAGCCAGTGCTTCACTACAATCCCACCTGATGGTAAGTGGTGATGTAGCCTAACATGGTGAAGCCGCACTGCCTTGTCAAAAGCCTATTCACTGTTGCCTTGAAGACACCCACATTATAATCCGACGGAGAGACAGATGTTGGAAACTTTTTCCACTCCTTTGCTGTACGTATGACAATATAGGAAACAGTTTTGTTCGAATGCGCTTTACTATTTCACTGTCCCGCGAGTAATTAATGAATATTTCCATTTCCCATTGTTAAGCTATTGCGACTTTTTCGCGGATAGGGAATATGTAAACGTTGCTGCGTTTTGATGGTGGGTGGGTGGGTACTCTTTTTACTGGTAACGAGGGGTTCTATCATACCTCTGGGTCAACAACGCATCTAAATTTTGATTCTTAATTGAGGTTAGACATCCACTTACCATCAGATGAAATGTGTGTTTATTTGTCACCTATATTTTTAATTAACACTAAAAAATATAGTAATATATGATTATAGTTTTAATACTATAATACGTGAGGTTGTCGTTGGTGTAGTGGTTGTAATAGTGCGACTGTTAATCATGAGGTCCTGGGTTCGAATCCCGGGTCGGGCCAAAAATCAATTATTAAGTTTTTCTGTCAAGAAATTCTCAGTAGATTCGCGGACTCAGGAAGTTGGCGGTGTCTTGCCCCCGTGCGGATGATGAGATGAGGGAATAGAGAGTGCACCTATACTTGCACATACACTTGGGCACTATAATCCTGCCCTGCGCCGATGGCTAGTCTCCGTTGAGGTAGGCCGCCATAACCGAAGTTCGGTCTGGAGGACGTTACGTGAGGGTAATATGGTTAATCTAGATCACTCTTGGTATTGCTCTCTGTATATTTGTGAATTTATACTATAATCGAGTCAGCTATTCCAATCTCGGACAAGCAGCCAGACATACAGACAGAGCTTAAAAAAATGTTTAATCATGATTTAAAGCCATGTAAATAGCCCTCTGAGCTCAATAATAGGCAGTTATTTCGATATTACACATAAAAACTTCAATTTTGTTTATATCTTTAGAATAATATACCTAATATAATTTGTGTAGAGTAACATAATATAATACGGTACAAAACCGTGTTCAGAACTAGTTCTAAGTAAGATATTTTTGGATGTCCATCCTAACACGTCATAAATTTGTTGTTGTTGTCGGTTGTCATGCTTAAGTGAGTTACTAAGTTATTAATTTACTGTAACTCTTATCTCATACTACTACCACAGTTATTACTCAGTAGGAATTCATTAAGGTTTTTAAGGAATCTTAAACAGCCTACGTGATATCCGCCGTCTCTTTCTGTCTATACTCTATACCCGTTTCACTTGTTAAGTTGTGGCTCGACTTGAACCGCCTTTCACTTAGTTGTGAGACACCAAGTGAAACTCACAGACAATGATGTGATGTGAAACTTAAGTCACGAATACGGACGTGTTTTTATAAAGTTTTCTTCGACAAAAATGTTAACATAATTTCCCGTGATAATGTGTAACACGATTTGTGATGTGATGCCAAAGTTGTTCCTTGTTTTATTAGTGTATTTATTTAAAGGTAGGTCTTTATTTGGCGCCTTTCAATTCAATTCTACAACCTTGATTAAATTTGTATAACCTGTATTGGATTTATTATTTCTTTTTATCCAATGCTCGTAGCATTGGATTATAAGCATTTTTGATAAAGTGTTATTAACATTTTTTTCATTAATTTCTTTTAAAACAATTATGGTCACAAAGGATCCAAATAATCCTTAAAATTTATTTTTATCAATTAGTAAAGCTCAAAAACTTAACAAATAAATTATTTTTTAAAATTACTTGAAAAACGTTGCGTTCCAAAATTAGTAATTTAATTAAAAATAAAACAGTTAAATATTTTTATGCAAATTAAACATTTAATAAAACATTAAAGTTATACGCATACGGAGTACGATTTCCAACCCCACCAATAAAAAATTTAATTGCAACTATTTATCACGTGCTCATTAGTGAAGAAAAACATTGTGAAATTTGCATGTCTGAAAAATTAAAAATACTTCTATGTCATGTGAAATCTATCGAAACTCATTGGGAAGTGCGAAGAACTCCTCTCTGCTTCAAATCTTCCCAAACTCTTGAGGTATAACTAGCCTTTGTATGGCGCACAATAAATAGGCGTTTACTTTACTTACTACAAAATAAATATCATATCCTTATTATTGATCCCACGACTGGTTTAGGTGAAATATTTAGTATCAATAAAAATTACCATTCACAAAATTATCACTTTAATAATATATAAATAAACAATAACAGAACATACTTTAACCGTTTTCTTTGTTTGTTTCCTTTGTTCAGAACTTTTGCTTTTTCTTTTTTAAACTTTTGAAATTTTTAATTACTTAAATTTAATCAATTGCTAGTTTTCCCGCAAAATTAGCTTACGGAACACTTCAGGGATAATAACTAGTCTGGTCATAAATACTGTTACATAAAACCTTTTCTTTTTTCAACTTTTTAATTATTTTGAATTATATTCTTTCCCACACAATCGTGTTATTACTTCAATAGGATGGGGTGTAAAGGAAATAGATTGCAGTGATCGCCTTGCACAAAGTGGGTATGGAACTGTCGGTCATATTTCAGAAACTTCAGAAGCTTGGTATCAGCCGTATGTTCGTATATAGTACTATCAACAGATACAACAACAACAATTCCTCTGTCGAAGACCACATAAAACATCGGGGTGGCCGCGTGCTGTTAGTACTACAAAGGCTGTTAATACTGTTAAAGCCAGAATTCGTAATATTACATACATTAATATTACATTACTTCATTTAAAAAATTCATTTTCATATAAAACAAAACTTACGGCCGGACTTCACTCCGTCGACAACTGCTAAGTTCATTTCATAACCCTGTAGATACTCGAGCGCTGTTGTTGAGAGTTTTTGAACTGTTATTTACTTCTTACGGATGGACATATTTTCAACTATTCTCTAATGAGAGATTGTCCTCCTTAACTCTTTACTCTATGCAGATAGAGAAACTAACGTTTGTGTACGTTACTAGGTATAATCTCCTTGGTGCCTGTCTGTCCAAAACCGAAATTGACACCTGGGTTTTATTTCGAATTAATACGCTAATTTCACAGAATACCAGAATAAAATATAATATAATATGGTCTTGTTCCATCTTAACCCTCAGGATAACAAAATATTTCTATCAACTGCAGTTTTTTTGGTCGTTATCAGGGAGGCGCTGCTGCCCATCTCCTGGCTGTCTCCCTCTGTCACTTATTACGACACCCACTGGAAGATATGGGGTAGTGGACATCCTTACACCACCACAACTGGATAAAAGCTTATATCTTGTTGGTAACTTAATAAATATATAAATAGTAGTGACTACAGGTCCACGCTTAAATCACGCCGTTGCAATATGATCTATTGGAATTTCATTCTTGTAAGCATGTAATTCCTGTGCACCCATCCCCAAAATGCGTTCTATAGAATACCGAAAGGCTTGCTACACTGCGCTTGTGATGGAGACTGACAAGATTGGTTTCAACCAAATCAAGGTTACCAATAAATATATATTATACAGTAATTGATTGTTTCGGGTCTACATGTTTGTCCTTGTGCAATTTAGGTTTGTAAAATATCTTCACGATGTGGGAGAAAATCCTTTTGAGGGAGTAGCGTTGTAAAAAAAATAGATTAAGTCAATGTGCTGCCATGTAGGTTGGAGTTACGCAATTTTATAATGTGATAGGGTTCCTTACTTTTTTCTTTATAAAATAAGGGTCACAAATGAGCACGCAGTTAACGCGATATTAACTGGATGCTTGGCCCATAGACAACTACATTTATCCTCGATTAAGAATCAAAATGTAGATGAGTTGTCACCGCTGAGGACTGAGTTTTCAGTAAGAAGGTTCTCCGGTCCTCTACCCTCACTATACGATACACAGTAGCAGTACGCTGCTATTTTACGGCACCTCTTCTTCCCAGGACATTTTCTGAACCAGTGGAAAAAATATATAAATGAGTTTCAATAAGTATTATTGTAATATTTTTTGTTGTTAAATAAATTATTCTATTCGAATGATCTCATAAATTACTTTCTGATTACCCTATGAGTTACATTATACTTCGATATGATTTAAAATAAAAGTTCTAAATTAAACAAAACAAACAGGATATTTAAAGTCGACAGTTGAACATGGGCCACCCCTATAGATTGGTTCATAGGGGATATTTGACTTAGTTGCCATGCTTGGCAAGCGAATTGGCAACCATACCTTTTTATTATTATGAGTTGTTATCAGAAATATGCTGCTACCTATATCCTGTTTCATAACCATCTGTAACCTCTGACGACACTCAGGGTGAAGCCTATCTTCGAAAAATCCTAATCTGAAGAAAATATTTATAACCTCAACTTTGAGACGGATTCGCAACCATGTTTTACGTGGTAAATCCATGCTGCAGCTATATTATAGTTGTAGCACGAATTGGTCGTCTCGACCGGGGAAGGACCACGCTCTCACAGAATACCAGCGTCAAATAGTAGCTTAATGCTGCTGTGTTTCGTATGGTGAGTGTAGAGAACCGGAGACCCTTTTTACTGGAAAAAGAGGCATTCCATCTTAGTCCTCAAGGCTGACAACACATCTTCATTTTGATTCGTAATCGAGGATGTATGTAGATGTCTATGGGCCACAGCAACCACTTCCATCAGGTGGATGTGTGCTCACTTGTCACCCTTGTCACCCTTTTCCTATATAAAAAAGAGTTACTGGTATAACTAGTTTGTGCTTGTTCCTAGTATTTATTTAATGTACATCACTATTTTTAGTAAAATGATTTTTGTTTTTGTGTATACATAAAATTTTCCTAAATTTACTATACGTAAAATTTTCCTAAATATAATATAATTATATGTTGATAAGCACTAATTAATGTATTTTTGCTTCAACAGAATCAAATGCCCTCGTCCTTCGTGCGTACATCTCTCAGCATGGCTTGCATGGAGAGATCGAGTTCTCGAACAAGAACGAGACACTCATCAGCATCAGAACCAACTTGAAGCCCACTTTACAGTACCCGGATGGAGTCTGGAGATGGACCATCCATGAATTCCCAGTCGATTATCGAGATTTATCCGAAAATAGATGCTCCGAGAGTAATTTAGGTAAAGAACTGATAGATTTAACTGAAGAATTAGGATATTTAATCATACCAGGCAAAGACCATGCTGAGTTTGAAAGTAAAAATAGTTTGACAGGATATTTGGGAATGTGGGGAAAGAGTATAGTTTTAGAAACAGCAGAAAGAGATAGAGTTGTGTGTGCATCTATTCTGTCAACAGAGAAACTTTATGAAAAATACGCAGAAGCTAGGTTTTCAGCTCCTATAGCGGGTGTTCTAAATTTTCGCTGGCTTTACGCTAGAGACTTTGATGAATCCGATGCATACCTTCTAACAGATTTGTATCATACAAAAGCAGTACCAGAGAAAGTGGACTATACAGAGCACAAATGGAAGCTCTTTGTAACTGACATATTTGACTCTGATAAAGGAAATCATGAAGACAACTGCAATGTACTGCAAGCGGTGTTTGATCCAGAGAACAATGGTGATGGCATGAGCGTTGGTGACTTGGACGTTAGGTTAGGTCTTGTTAAAGTGGCTTCTGACCCTAATGTACAACGGCTGAGAACTGTGTACAAGAATGATGTACTAGGCACGTTGCGAAGCGACATGGAGGTGACGACGAGAAGCCTCTACGTAGTGATCTATGACACTAGACATTCTGACAGTTTTCTCGCTTGCGCAAAACTAAGACCGATGCAACCGAAGAGTGCCAAGTAAGTAAAAATTCATAACTGCTCTAGCTAGATATATTTTGGTCCTTAGTAATTTTATTCGTACCGGTAAGCGAAGCGTAGGGCAGTGCCCATGGAGGGACGAGTCGGTAAGAGATGCAGGAAATCGATGGATGAAGGTTGCTCAGGACCATGCTTTGTGGCTGAGATGATGATGATTAATTTTATGTTTTAGTTCCAGTACGGTAACTAAGTAAAATAAAATTAGTTTTAATATTTTAGTTCCGGTACGGTAACTAAGTTAAATAAAATGATATAATTGGCAATAAAAGCAAATAAAGATTAATCGTATTTTATATAATATGTTACATTTGATTACGCTGTAAAAGTGTATAGCTCGTAACAATAACATGAAGACGAGCATTGTCTTATTGTAGAATGAGGGTGACATGCAAGCACACAGGCCAACTAGTGGTAAGTCGACGCTGTGGCCAATAAACAGCGATTCTATCTTTGATTAAAATCTAAATGCGGATCCGTTGCCACCCTTGAACACTAAAATGGAATGCCTTGTTTCCAGTAAAACGATTTCTCTGATTCACAACACTCACCATACGAAACATAGCAGCATGCTATTTTACGCTGATAGTCCGTGAGAGCGTGGTCCTTCCCCGGTCGAGCCGAACCATTCGTGCTACAATTATAAAATAAATGCAGCATGACTCTACCACGTATAAAAAGTGTCTACTATTAGGTCTATTTGAAGCACAGATTACCCCCTAAATTTGGAGATATAAAATATGTTTAACAATGGAATGTTTTGACCTTTGATTATAGACAGGTATATAATCAAAGGTTTTGGCATACATTAGCCCGAAGTATGTATTATGATCTAGATACAAATGTAATTATTTCATTAATTTTTTCTGTAAACTTAACAGTTATAAGTTTTATCAGGATAACGAACGATTTTATAAACTTTTGTGGTTAGTAAAAACACTATCGTTGTAATTTGACCCTATCATAAGTATGTCCACTGCTAAACAAAGCCCAAGGACGAAGTTGCTTCAGAATGGACCATTGTCACATACCATACACTTAATAACATCTCACAGGATATTGACATTATTTACATGCAGTGAAACGAAATTCATAATTGCAGCATAAAAATGCGTTCAAAATTATAATGATTTCTTATATTTAATCAATGCGTTGAAAATTGTAGTATTTTTTAATTAGTCAACCTCACCAGTGCCCCTGTGGTAGCAACGTCGATGAGTTTGGGCTCCACGGACTTTCATGCAAGAAAAGTGCAGGTAGGTTTTCCCGTCACGGTTCTTTGAACGAAATCATCCGAAAGGCTCTTGTCTCAATAAATATCCCCTCGGTTTTAGAGCCTTGCGGGATATTTAGAGACGATGGCAGGAGACCCGACGGTATGACTTTGGTCCCTTGGGAGAGAGGTATAAAGCCCTAGTGTGGGATGCTACTTGCGTTGACACTTTGGCGGCCTCTCATCTCAAGGGTACCTCTTTTAGAGCCGGGGCGGCATCAGAGGCAGCCGAATTTAGTAAATGGCGCAAATATGAGTCTTTGAGAAATGACTACATATTTGTGCCATTTGTTGTAGAGACTATCGGTCCGTGGGGTTCGCGTGCAGCGAAATTTCTAAAGGAACTGTATCCACGACTGGTCGTCGCTGTTGGTGATAAGAGGGCTGGTTCTTTCCTCGCTCAAAGGCTAAGTATAGCTATTCAGCGAGGAAACGCAGCCAGCGTTCTTGGCACTATACCACGGGAAGCAGGTCTTTTTGACGATTTAAATTTTTAGTTTTAGATTTTCTATATTATAGTTTCTTCTTTTATTTTGTATATAATTAGTTTTAATCGTAAATATTATAATTTTAATTATTATTTTAGTTAAGTTCTTTATTATAATTTTTGTAATCTAGATCTATATTTTAAATTAAAATATTCCTCGATATGATTAAAGAATGTAAATACGAAAAAAAAATTAGTATTTTATTTCATAATCATGTTTATAGTTTCATTATTTATTAGTTAGTCGTTTTCTTATATTTAGGTTTGTTATATCATCGCATTGGTTTAATAACTGTACTGATGTTATAATTATGTGATTAATAAATAAAAATGACGCTAAACACGACTACACGTACGTGACTACATACGTGTAGTCGGTCTAACGGAGTCCACTGATCGATCGTCCACAAACATTTTTATGATACTTTAATGAAACTAATTTTACCTTCGATCAACAACGTTGGTATTGTTGATCGAAGAGTTTTACGAATTCTATCGCGTTTGATTTTAACTTTTTGATTCCTGACGTTTCGGGCGCTTTACAGCATCAATGGTCACGGGGGGTCTGAAGTATACGACGTCCCGATGTCATAGTTGGACCCGCTACCCTTAGACCTTAGCTTTAGAATATTAATTTTGCTTCGATCTACGCAGAACGATCTTACAGTATCTTGAAGTATTGCAGTGGTATACTTGGGTTTGGATTTAATTTTATTAATTATAGGATCCCAAGCAGATGGTCGCATCCATTTTTTCTATTGAGACTAGATTTATTACTTTTTAATTTCAATAGCCTCAAGAATCATCCTTAACAGGAATCGGTGCTTTTTTGCAAGGATTTGTGGTCTATCAAATCCAAAGTAATGGCGGGGGCCGTCTAGTATCACAACCTGCAGACTCCCCGGAGCGTTAGTGGTTCATGTCTGCTATATATTATTCTTTTACGTGGATTTTATAGATCTTTTTGTTTGTCTTATTTGCGATTAAATACGTAAAATTATTTTTATTCAACATAGTATTCGATCAATTTAAAAAGTCATTATATGATACCTAAATTATTAAATAAATCAATATCACAAAAACTGCTCTAACAGTCTAGTAAAGGTAAGCATACTTCTTGTTTATTAGAGCCCTGATAAACATGGACGGCATCAGAGGTACTGTGGACTTCACGCAGCGGTCACCGTTCGATCCAACGTGGGCGTACTTTCAGCTGGGCGCCGCGGACCAGGAGTACGAGTCCAACCTTCGCTTCGTGGGCTCCATGCTGCAGTACAGCGTGCGACAGGTGCCCGCACGGCTGCTGAGTGCGGAGCTGGTACACTCCATGTGCAACACCACTGGGGATCTCTATAATCCCACCAACGTGGATTTGAAAGCTGTGCCACCACCAGGTTTGTATTTATACTTGACTAAAATATTTAACCATGTAGTGGTGGTGTAAGAATATCCTTTACCCTACATCGTCCTGAAGCTGTCGTAACAGGGGACAGAGGGCAACAAACGAGGAAATAGACAGCGGCGTCGTCCTAACAACAGCTGAAAAATAAAGTCTGCGATTGCCAATTCGCGTGCCAAGCGTTGCCAAGCGTTGCAACTACGGCAAAACAGAGTAATTATTGTGTAACATATTAAATTATTATTTTTTTTAAATATTCCGCTGGGTTTCGTGCTGAATCTTCCCAGGACAGAGACATCTTTCGAACCAGTGGTAATTTAAACGTGAAAGTGACTTTCAAGAAGTATTGTTTATACGTGGTAGAGCCATGCTGCAGTTATGTTAGTAGTGTAGTTGTAACACCAATTCCACGGGGAAGAACCACGATCTCACAGAATACCAGCGTAGTATAGAGCTTAACGCTGTTGTGTCTCATTTGGTGAATGTAGAGATCCGGAGACACTTTTTACTGAAAACGAGGCATTCCATCTTAGTACTCACGGGTGGACAACGCATCTGCATTTTGATTCGTAATCGAGGTGGACTGTGTGTTAGTTTGTCACCCTACCCTATATAAAAAAATCTTTGAGTATATTGAATAAAATAGAGTAAATGGGAATAGAGTACAGTTTCCTAGGAAATAGAGTAAATAGGGCCCTACACTCTATTGTGGAAAGTCAGATGTGTCAGAAAGGCACGTATGGCAATTCACAATGCTGTGTTGGTTCCTACTTAAACGTATGGTAGTGAAAGTTGGGTGTGGCAGAAGAAGCACGACAGTAGAATAAACGCAGTAGAAATGCGGTCGTTAAGGTGTACATTAGGGCTGAATTTGAGTGACAGGGTGAGAAATTGTGTGATAAGAGAAGAGTGTGGTTTGCAAAATATTGTGATTAGGATTAAGAAGGAAATGCTTCAGTGGTTTGGTCATGTGGAAAGAATGAATGAGGAAAGAGTGACAAAGCAAATTTATGTTGCAGAATTGAACGGCAGAGTCGGAAAGGGACGTCCTAGGCGAAAGTTTATCGACCAAATTGACGATATATTGAAAATGGGCCAAATTAGGAGTACTCTTAACCGACGAGCATGCATGCGTAGGTATATGGATGTGGAGGAGGCGAGAGAGGTGTGTCAGGATCGTGCCAAATGGAAGTATGTAGTCTCTGCCTACACCTCTGGGTGATATGCGTGAGTGTTTATGTATATACGTATGTTTATTAAATAACAGAGTTTCTATTCTATTCTATTTCCTCCATGACTATGTGTGACTTATATAGACTGTAATCAATACTATATATAAATATAGATGACTAAGTCATTACCTCAGTAGAAGGTTAAGCCAGTGAGCGAAAAAGAAACTCGCAGATTGTCAAGGATGCACAAAGCATATTATGTAGACATAGGTACTCGTAGTAGTTAAGTACCTAATTTTTTTATGCGATTGAGCCGATTTGACTGGCTAAGGACCGCAAAGAATACCAGCGTGAAATAGCAGCATAATGCTGCTGTGTATCGTGTGGTGAGTGTAGACAACCAGAGACCCTTTTTACTGGTAATGAGGCATTCCAGCTTAGTCTTGAGATGTTAAAACGCATCTGCAATTTAATCCTTAATCAAGGATTGATGAAGATGTATTTGGGCCACAGCATCCACTTACCATCACGTGGGCTAAGAGTTCGTTTGTCTCTCTTAATCGATAAAACTTTAGGTCCATAAACAAGTAAACATCTTACGGTAAATATTATAATTGAAAAGTGTAAAGTTTACGGATAATAATATTATAAATAAACATGCGTGCCGCTCACATGCGACAAAAGTGAAACTTTCAAATGAAATGATATATAAAATACAAATACTTTAAATGATTTATTTAATATCCTAAACCTTTAAACGAGCAATTCTTGTACATATATATATATATATATCATCTCAGTAACGGCTCCAACTATTTTCATAAAATTTTGTGTCCAGGAGCTTTCGGGGGCAATAAATCGATCTAGCTAGAATTCATTTTTAGAAAATGTCGTTTTGTCCGTGTTTTCGGGCAATGAAAAACTGCTACAATATATGAAGGTAAATTTTGACACTGTATTAATAATCGTAATAGCTCAAGAGGATATCGGGCCGTCGCGATATCGAGCATGGCATCGCGTCCCGTCTTCGGTCCGAATTTTTTTCCTTTTTTCTTAAGTTCCCTTCTTTTTTTTTAGAAAATCTATTATTTCGAGCCCTTTTTTAGTATTTTTTTAAAAACACGAAAATTAAAATTAAAATAAATGCACTCATGATTTTTTATTCAAATAACCAGTTCAGTTTTTTCAATTATGTCGTTAAAATAAAATAATATTACCTATTCATAATTCATCAGTATGCAATTTGTATCTAAATATGTTTAAAAAAATATACCGAGCAAAGCTCGGTCGTCCAGGTACCTACTATTAATTTAAACTACAATTTCGGTATAAAATATAAGTAAATTTAATTTTATAGTAAATAAATGTAATAATCCTTTTAATATACAACACGTAACATAATTAACGCACTTTGAGAAAGTAGTTTGTTCAGAATCGTTTACTGAATCGATTGCTATCATTTTTAATATAGGTAATTTTTATCCTAAATTAATTAAAACTACGTAAATTACAGTCACACTAAATCTGTACAGTCAAAACAAACTGAATACGATTGTAACTTAAGGCAATAAGACTTTTAAGAGTGCAGTTTTATTTGTAATATTACTAATTCTGTCATTCAATAAAAATAAAGAAAAATGAACTTTATTTCAAGCACGTTAAAGTCTTTGCGTTCGTGATTTGTACTGTGACCACAACATTCTTCCGGAATTAGTATAACTAATTTGATAAATAATCAGTGCATAAAAATGTTTAACTAAAAATTCAGTGTATGTATTACGATTATAACATAATATACTAATTGGGGTGTCTGAGGGTGTGCGTTAATTACGTTACATATTGTATATATATATATATATATATATATATATATATATATATAGGTATTAGACACAGATATTATATTACTCTCCTCGTATACCTTACTCTCCTCGATATACCTTAAATAGTATTTACTAATTACAAAAGTTATTTGAATCAATTTTACTTATTACGAAGTTGAAGTTTGGCCGTTCTTCACTACTTGTTTAAACCATAGTACTATTATTTATTCTGTGTACATCTAAGGCACACGACACCTTCGTTCGGAGGCGTATACGACTTTTTTCTCGCGAGCATTGAGCTATAATCTATATTGCTTCCTATCTCATTGTCTCCCACATTAAATCTTATGAATGTATGTATCTCTTTTTACCGTTGCTTTTTCTTTTCATAGCCTTCAAATCACAACGATGCTAAAGAAGTTTTCACTTCAAAAAGCTATTTTAATAAAACTATATTTTTAGTATAACAGTCAAATTGTCGGTAGCAACGCTAGGTCTACAATTATTGGTATTTCATGCCGATGGAAATACACCGTACAGCGTCGAGACTGTATCGTTTTCGTCCAGAATTAGCTACAGTTTAGCGTTCTCGTAATGTCGGTCAGGCAGCACGCGTTTCCTGACTTCTTGGTACCGTGCCAATTGTTTATCTCGTTACACAATGCACAGAGGTATTCGATCGTTTGGGATGAATTTCGATGGAAATGATCGAACGTCACTGAAGCGTCTAGATCACTGATTGGAATTTAATATTTATTGCATGTCTTTCCAGTTACGTTTAGTGTTCGCTGACTGTAAAATAAGTTTATAACGGTTGAATTATTTAATACTTTATTATTTTTACGTTACTATTAGAACAATCTTATTTGGGTACCCAAAACAATATAACACTAAAACATGAACAACATGAATAACATGAACATAACAAGTGAAAAATAACGATCTCGATAGTATTCTAAAACATGTGCATACAACATGATATTATAGTTCATAAAAGATAGCTTGATCTCTGCGACAGCTGTCAGTAAAATCACGCCTATGAAGTCCTGAATTTCTTAGTAGTACAGACACACAGTACCTGTCAATGTCTTACTTTATGGGCATGCACTAATTAGGTCGGCATGCCCATACAGTATGACATTGACAGGTGCTGTGTGTCTGTACTATTAAGAAATTCAGGACTTCATAGGCGTGATTTTTACTGACAGCTGTCGCAGAGATCAAGCTATCTTTTATGAACCATAGGTAGCAATGACGAGTTTACAGCACAAACCTATTTAGTGTAGGTATATAACGAAATATGTTGTGTAAAATTTGGTTGAATATTTAATATAATCATTATACTATAATCTTGACAAATGAATGATGCTTTTGATGTAATGTTGACTATGAACACCGGCGACAAGGAAATGTAGGATATTGTTTGCATATTACACCACCTAGTTCGAATATTTGACGACTTAGCAGTTGATATACTTACCTACTAATTCACAGATCCCGGGTTCGAATATCAGTCGGAGCTAAGATTTAATTATGCAATTCTACACAATATGTTGAAATATGATTTTCGTGTGACACAAATTCAAGGCTAAGTATAAAAATAAGTCTCTATTTAGGATTTCGGTTTTCAGACTTACAATATTAATAAAATTCGGGAGTTAGCATTCTATCTATTCTTCTATTGCCTTATTCCTATATTCAAGAAACGGTTAGTTATCCGTTTCAAAATACTAAAGGAAAAAAATCGTTGATATTAAAAACTGAACGTTCTCTTCGGGCCGTTCTCATCGATTTAAAAATTAAAGTATTTGCATCAACTTACGATGTTGTACCTTGTTGAAACAGCATTTTTACTAGGTGGTAGAGGTTTTTTACTAAGTTAAAGTTACAGCCTATATAAGTCCCACTGCTTGGCACTGGCCTAATCTCATTTCTGAGAGGGTTTTAGGACAAAGAAATGTCCACCGTGCTTTCCCAAAACGTTTTGGCTAACTTCACATTGTCTTCGAAATATTTTTTCTTATTTCTCAGATATGTAGGTTTCCCTACGATATTTCCCTACACCACCAAGTAAGTGGTAATTCAGCACTTAAAATTGTAATTGACAATTTCATTGGTGCCGGCGTGGATCGAACTCGGGTTGCTCGCGTACTGTGAAATTTATAGCGAACGCTGACTATCTGATAACCAGTCGGCTTTTGCTAGCTGGTAGAACTTTATTACTTCTTTTCTGCCTAGAAGTCCAGTTCTCGGGGTAAAAACGACCCTTGTATTTATTTCTGTCGCCAAATAGTATTGATTGCACAACTATATCCCTGTGTAACCCAACTATATCCACAATATTTTCTACACCGAGGGGTGTAGAGATTCAGTAAAATTGTTACACTGTCTACCTACCGTGGACTGTGTGCTTTGCACCCTCCTTTCTGCCAAGGAGGGTCGCTTTCGTATACTGCTTAGAGATCTCTAGTTAGACTGTTAAGCCAGTCCCTAAAAGGCGGTGTTTAGTGGGTAAAAGTCTCCACATAACCACGCAGCCGGCTGCGTGGTATGCTATAAGCATTCACCGCCTCCCTCCCCCGCTTTCCGGAGGGTTGCCCATATTTGCTTCGGACGCAAAAAAAACTGTGTGCTCGTTTGTCACCATTATTCTATATTAAAAAAAAAGCACGGTAGCGATCACCTCATTCCAAGGAGTTATTTTTTTTCAGTTATTCTTTAATATCATAATTACCTTTTTGTACAATTTTTTTAATAAAACTTTTAAACTTGTCGATTGAGAAACTTTGAATATTTTCCGAGATTTTGTTGTAAAAGCGTATACATTGACCACAAATGAATTACTAATTTTCTGCAGTCTTCTGGCATTACTAACTGTTATATTTATACAGGCATGGGCACAATGGATCAATACCCAGTGGGTGACTTACTGGGGAAGTATAAGGACCGCACGGAGTACCTGAATCATCGCTACCTGCTGCCAGGGCTGGCGAACGAGCTCAGTGGAGCCTATTGGGATGTATTCCTGTCGCTCTACGGACAGCACAGCGTCATGCATCGACCCCTGGTGCTTGAAAGGTAATGGATTTTGTAAATTGGCTTCTTAAATGTACATAGGTACATAAAAATAGTACACATATAAACTCTGACGTTTGTCACCTAGATAGGTGTAGGTTGAGATGGATATGGGAATTCTGTAGTCTGTGATTACATATATCCTAGACTGCCACTAGTATTATAAAGGATATGGCAGATAACAAATACTGGAGAAAGAACACCGATCGCTATCAAGGATGATTCGTTAGGATATTGATGTTGAAAGCGGGTAGGTACTATCACCTGCTTCATCATCATCACCATTACATCCATAAGTTTACTGCTGAATAAACCCCCCCAAATAATGCCAGAAAGCACGGTTCTGAGCCACATGCATTCATCAAATTTCTGCATTTCTTACCAGGTCATCACTCCATCTAAAGGGGGGCCTCCCTACACTTCACTTACTGAGGTTACGAGGTTGGCACTTGAGAACCTTTCTTCCCCATCAGTTGTCGGTTCTTCGAGCTGTATGGCCGGCCCATTTTCCCTTCAGCTTACTAATGCGTTGGAATATGTAGGTTACTCAGGATCTACTGCAGATATCCTTATTTCTAAGTTTATTACGCAAAGAAACCTTGATCATAGCCCTCTCCATAGCTTACCGAGAGACCTTGAGCTTCCTCATAACACCTGCTTGAGATTCTGTAACTTATAAAATAAAATTCAAAGCCAAGTATATCACTGCGTGACTTCAAGATACAGTAAGGTCATTCTTCGTAGATGGTCAGTCTGAACGAGGACAAGCCGTCTGTGCAGGACAGGAAAACGTGACCGAGTGTATGCACAAGCACAGGTGAACTCTCTATACCCTCACGCTCTTTTTCCGATGAGACGGTAAGCCGACTCGACTGGAGAGCCATGCTTTCCGTTCTTTCACAGGCACGTGAGTGTAACATCACTGGCTTGCTGATTTCTGGCTACTAGTGATTTTAACTTGACCGGGGATTCGAGTCCGGCACCTCAAGATCATGAGGCGCGTTTACAACCACAAGACCAAAGAGACAGTCAAAGTCTTGATTCTGTGGTTGTACTCTATGACGGATTTACTTTTATTTCATTTAATTAATATAATCAAGCGTTATTTAGCGGAAATCCATTATATCAAAGTTGGTAAGAATCCTCACATCTATTCAATAAATTTCAATAAATCAAATTTATTGAGCGGATATGGGCCAAGAAATTATTACCAACTTTTTTTTTAAATTTTTTAGGATAAATTGTTTTTAGGTCAATTGTCATAATACATTTGAGTATACAGAAATTAACCATGACTAAGTTTTTATAAGTAGATTAGAAAATAAAAGGGTAGAGTCGCATGCTAAGAAAGTTTTATTCATACAGGCAACAATTATCTTTTGACTTAGCCTAGTACAAATAAGAATAAGTAATATAACTAATAATTTATGTATCCTCTTAGCAGTTGAGAAGTTTTTAATATTAAAAACTGGCGGTCCGCCCGGCTTTGTACAGGTGAATTCTGCATCTCGACAACAGCGCCACCTTCCGGATCCAATAGAGAGTAGTAGTCTAGCAAAAAGAGAGTTTTTTTTGCGAGACTTACGTACAGCAATTGATTTTTATATACATATATAGAAGTATTGTTACGTAGGAGAGCTCCAAAACAAGAGATCTGCGGCACGATCCTCTCGTACGAGGACGGCACGGAGTATCAAACGCCGATGACGTCCGCGCAGGTGATATTCCGCTACCCGATTGTTGGCCGAGTCGTGTTCCGACAGCCGCTGGACCGACCCTGGGATGACACCACCATTATCATCGAGAGCATGGTGCGTATTGATTGACAAACACAGTACAAGACTCGTAATAATTGTTGTGGTAATTTTATGTACTAAAAAGTGACGATCGAACACACAGTCAACTTAAAATTCCTTTTTACTTAAAAGTATTAATTATTACGTGTTAGAGCCACGCTGCAGCTATGTTATAGATGTAGCACGAATGGGTTGGCTCGATCGAAGCAGGACCAAGCTCTCACAGAATACCAGCGTAAAATAGCAGTGTAATGCTGCTGTATTTCGTATGATTAGTGTAGAGAGCTGGAAACACTTTTTATTGGAATCGAGGCATTCCATCTTAGTCCTCAGGGGTGACAACACACTTGCATTTTGATTCTTAATTGAGGATAAATGTGGATGTCTATGGGCCACAGCATCCAATTGTCATCAGGTGAACTGTGTGCTCGTTTGTCACCCAATGTTATAAAAAAACTAGCCACTCGTCCCGGCTTCGCCTGCATAGGACCTATTAATATGACATTATTTAGATTTGAGATAATTAAAGAACTTTTATTTTATCACTTTCAAGATTTTTCAAAAAAAAATTGAAGCCAGCCTAGATTCCTCCTCGATGACTTTCAAAGATATGCTCTCTGTCTACTAGCAAATTTTCAAATTCAAAAATTCAAATTCATTTATTTGCTAGAGTGTACTCGTATGTGTACAATAAAGTATGATCCATTTACATTCTACCACTTTATATGGTGTGCAAATATTTTATAGGTATACAAGCAAAAAAAAAATTTAAACAACAAGTGGGAATTTAATTTCGTAAATTTATGATCAATTGATGTCAATATCATGTCATATAAGTAATAGGTTTTAAAATATCACAGTGTGTAATGATTGTTCTTAATAATTGTTAATGTCCATACTTACAGGTTGTTCATAATTAATTAATTATTAGATTATATATCAATATTACAGACTTCAGATTTATTTTTCATTTAGATCGTAAAAACATTTTTCTTTTAACCATTGTATCAACTTTTTTTTAAACAGGGTTAAAGGTAACTCTTTAAATTCGTTGGGTATTTTGCACCTTTATAGTATTTACGTAAGAGTTCCTTTCATACAATTTGAGCCTGCATTGAGGTAAATATAGTTTATGTTTATTTCTAGGAGCTATATTTCGTTCAGTTACATCTATCTGCCTTTCAAAGTGTTCAGGATGTTACTTTACAAATATGCATATTTCTTTAATGTACAAGCATGTTAATGTCAAGATATTGTACTTTTTAAACGAGGGCTTACAGCTATCCGTATACCCTGCTCCATATTAATAAGCGACACTAGCCTAATAGCAGGACGCGGACCGCGAACTCAAAAAGGTCGTGGGTTCGAATCCACCATTCGACAACTGGCGTGAACCACTCGTAACAAGCAGTTTAAGCTTACCACGAGTGGTTAAGAGGAATATTAGTAATGTTAATATTCTTTAAAAATAATTGATGCACGCACACATTTTTTTGTACTCTAAATACTTTTATTATATCTACTAAATTGCCCCACTATAAAAGACCATATGATAGTACTCAGGAAACATATCCGTGATATGCACATATAGCAGCATCAGTTGATACCGTGACTCGTAATCTTTTTATTGCATAGACGAATCTGTCGAGTTTGTTACAAACGTAATCGACATGTGTTTTCATTATAATCGGTTAAGCCATTTCGAAGATTATCGTAGCATCGAAGCCTAAATCGTGCTATCAAAGTTCCGAAGTAAAAACAGTACCTATATGTAGAATAGCTCCGAACTATCACACGGAGCTTTGGTTGCTCTTCGGGCTGAACACCTCTTTCCGGCCGGAGATCTCACTTTTCTTTCCACGGCCAAAGAACGAAAATGGCAAAAAATGGCAAATTGTGCAATAATTATGTATCGAAAGAACAGCGGGATATGGAATTTAAATTAACGAGACATATTCTACAACCAGTAAGTCGAAACTATTTATATTTTGTGAATATTAGAAACAAAAATAAAGAAATATTTATGTGTCAAAAACGTTTATCAAAAGTCTAAAATGTATTCGTAGTAGTGATAACTGAAAACACCGAGCCAAGCAAAAAAAGCACTATTGGAAGAAAAAAATTATGAAAAAAAACGGTTTGGGAAAACAAAAAAGAGACAGGAGAAAACCCACTTACAAAAAAAACTGGTCTACTTACGGGACGCAAATTCTAATTTATAAAAATTCAATTTAAAAATATTTTTATAGTCCTCCCGATAGTAAGTGGCTACTGCAGTCCGTACATATCTGCAGTCGTTTTCAAACATATAAGATTAATGCCCAATGCCCAATTTCACCAACATACTCTAAACAATCAACGACCGTTAAGCTAAAAGATCCCCTAAACCAACCCATAAGTAAAATTTGTTTTCACGAACGCAACAGACCCGTAGCTAGGAGACCCCTCCTTATGTGACAGATTTTTTACGACGATAGTGCTTGATACCCAGTCGTAGTAATCGGTTTTATCGGAAATTATTTATATTTATACAAAATATACGTTTTCATGTATTATTTTAATGAAGAAATTGATTCTTTCATATTGTGACTAATAGATGTTTTCATTTTGTTTATATTTTAATTAAAATATCGTATTTTTGGTCTACGTTTGTTTAATTGACGTCGTATTCCACCATATTTGATACAACGAATCACCAATATGGCGTCGATTTATGACGTCATTCGCATTCGCCAGTGTACTGTGTTGTATTTCGGAACATACCCATTACACTCAGGGTATGTTCCAAAATACAACGCAGTGTACTGTCCAATGCAAATGACGTATAATTTGACACTTTATTGTACTAGCGTGCCGCCGCCATATTGTGTCGGATTTCCGGCCATAATAAAACAATTTTTAACTATGTGTTTGCCGAATGAAGCATGCCAGAATTTGTTTATATTTATTCAAATACAAAAAATTATAGAATAATTGATGGTATATCCATTAGGAGGATATAATGATTTTTAGAGCACAAAATGACAAAATAATCGCCAACACTTTTCCAAATGGCGCAAAAGTATGACGTCATATACTGTCCAATGTTTTGGAACGAATCACCAGTATAGCGTCGATTCATGACGTCATTTGCATTGGACAGTGCACTGCGTTGTATTTCGGAACATACCCTCAGTTATCTGTACATTGACTGTTGGACATTTTGGCATTGGAGTTTTGGCGCGAACTTGGCCGTAGATCGGTTGTCGCCCCTGTTTTGTTGCTTGAATAATGGTTTGAAGTGGATTTTGAGTCGTAAAAGTGATGTGATTTTGTGAATTAAGTGTCCGCGCGTGTGAACTATTAGAGAAAACGACGAAATTATGTTTGTGAGATATTATTTTATCACAGACGAGATACTTTCTTTTGGTAGGAACCAGTCGTTCAATGGAGGGCTAGACAGAGCAACACTGAGGGTTACATTATATTATACTTACACTGTGATTTTATACAAGTATTTGTTTTGTTACAATTTTAGTGAAATACAAGCAATGTGGGAAATAATGAAATTAAGTAAGTAAAAAGTAAAGTAAAATATACTTTATTGTACACCAAGGAACATATTACATTATTTATATATTTAAAGGGACATTGGTACAACAGGCGGCCTTATCGCTAAAACAGCGATCTCTTCCAGGCAACCTTAGGGCAGAGGATACTATTTTAAAAGATAGCGGAAGGGGTGTACAGAATATGATAAAGAAAGATAAATAGAAGAACATAAATGATTAAAAATGAATGACGACAGGTAGTAACTTAAGAGGAAAGGTAATAAAGTTTTAATTTATTTTTAAATATAGGAAGACATTTTTTGATATGTAAGGGGAGAGAATTCCATAGTCGTATAGCGGTAACCGTAAAAGAATTAGAATAGAAGGAAGAGGAATGTCTAGGGGTACTTAGAAGGAGATTATTTTGAGATCGTAAACTACTTAAATATATAAATCGGTCTTTCAAATAAGAAGGAGTGGTCGGATTGAACAGAATGCAGTAAAGAAGATGAAGAATGTGAGTATTCCTGCGAAGACGAATCGGGAGCCACTTGAGCTTATGGCGGAATTCGGATATGTGGTCATACTTTCGTAACCCAAATATAAACCTTATGCAATAATTTTGAAGCCGCTCAAGTTTATTAAGTTGCTCGTATGTTAGGTCAAGATAACAAGTGTCCGCGTAGTCAAGGATCGGTAAAAGAAGAGACTGAGCCAGCGCAACTTTAGTAGGAATGGGGAGAACATTGCGTAATCTTCGAAGTGAACCAACTGCGGCAAACATTTTTTTACTTATTTCACTAACTTGCGGTCCCCAAGACAAAGTCTGATCGAACATAATACCTAAATTCTTAACTTTGTCACTGTATGGGATAAGTGTCCCATCGAATATGATTGGCGGGAGCAGCGACAAAGTTAACCGAGAGATTAATTTCGAACTCCCAATAATAATGGCTTGAGTCTTCAATGGATTAACTTTAAGCCCAAATGAATTACACCAATGAGAAATACGAATAAGATCTTCATTAATTAATCTAATTGTATTGGGGAGATCCGCAATCTTACATTGAGAGTAGATTTGTAAATCGTCTGCATATAGGTGGTAAAGAGAAGTTATGTGGGAACAGATCGAATTGATGAAGATAGAGAACAATAGAGGAGACAACACGCCACCTTGTGGGACGCCAGCTTTGACAGCAGACCAGTCAGAAAACGTGTCTTGAATTTGTACACGTTGCCGGCGCCCTTGCAAGTAACTATGAAACCAACCAATTACTTCAGGAGATATGTTAAGAGAACTTAGGACAGCGAGTAAAACATCAAAGTCTACAGTATTGAAGGCATTACTAAAGTCAAGCAATGTCAATACTGTAACCTGCTGACTATCCATGCCCAGGCGAATATCATCAGTGATTCTAACCAAAGCCGTAGTCGTACTATGACCGGGACGGAAACCAGATTGGAATGAATTCAAAAGGTTATGAT